ACAGAGAACAAGAGAGACAGAGAACAAGAGAGACAGACAGAAAATGAGAGACAGGATGGGAGAAAGGGACAGGGAACACGAGAGAGTGGGATAAAGAAGACAGAGACAGGGAGACAGAGAGAATGAAAGATTGAGAGAGAGAGAGACAGAGAACGAGAAAGCAACAGAGAACGAGAGAGAGACAGAGAACGACATAGAACGACAGAGAGACAGAAAGAGAAAGAGAGACAGACAATGAGAGACCAACAGAGAATGAGCGAGAGAGAGAGTGGATGAGAGAGAGAGAGACAGAGAACACAAGAGAGGGACAAAGAGAAGAGAGAGATAGAGAGAACAAAAGAATGAGAGAGAGACAGAGAGAATGAAAGAATGAGAGAGAAAGACAGAGAACGAAAGAATGAGAGAGAGAGAGAGAGAGAGAGAGGGACAGAAAATGTGTGAGAGAGAGAACGAGAACACCAGAGAAAGCAGAATGAGAAACAGGGGCAGGGAGAGGGTAATGGGGCACGGGGGGAAACAGGACGCAGAGAGCAGACAGAGAGAGAGAAGACAGAAAGAGACAGATGAGAAAAATGGAGAGAAGAGACTAGACAGAAACAGAGAGAGAGAAAAACGGGGAGACAGAGAGAGAAAACCGCCAGGGAGAGCGAGAAAACCGACAGGGAGAGAAAACCGACAGAGAGAGAAAGAGAGAAACAGAAAGGGAGAAAACAGAGAGAAACAGGGAGAAGTGAGAAACAGACAGAAAGAGAGAGAGACAAATAAAACAGAGGGATCGAGAGAAACAGAGAGCAGAGAGAACCTTCTTTATTCTAGTTATAAACCCATCTTCCCTGCTCCTTTGACAGTAGTTTCCTAAAGTACAGCTCATTCCTGAGCTGCTGTGGGCTTATGGCAATATCTTTCATTTCCAATGTTTAACTTATCGTAAAGATTTCAATCAAACTGGAGATCTGGGTTTCTTCACCCCTGACTAGTTTCAGGCTTTTGATAAAAATGTTAATTTTAGTTCAGACTGGTTCTTGTTTATTGATGGTTTCATGAAACGTGACTGAACCTGGTGATTTCTGTGGCCCATTTCTAAGTTAGTGTCTTTGGAACCAGTTTAGTGCAGAGAGATCCCGGGTATTAAAGTCAGTCATAGAATCCCTACAGTGTGGAAGCAGGCTGTTCAGCCCATTGGGATCTGTGTGAACCCAGCACTAAGTTCAAACGTCTGGCAAATTCCCAAACACTCGGCAGATTCTCAAACGCCTGGAGGATTTGTGTTTGATGCCCCACTCCAGCTCCCTGCAGCTGAGACTGGGAGTGCTGGCAATGGGGATGGGTACGCCACTTGCAGACTCCTCCTGTCCCTTTTGTAGAGCCACCTAGACTCCACTCAGAATTCTGACCCGAAGTTAGCGTCAAGCAGGTTGAAAGTACGTACCTTTGAGAAGAGACCGAAACAGCCCAGGCAGCTGATAATGCAGAAAACCTCTGGTAGTCTCGGCCCACCTCCGCGTGGCTGTAAACAGGGAAAGGCACTCGCTTAACCAGGGGTACATCCTTCAACATGGTCTGTCAGTCCCTCACCTCCACCTGCTCGGGTCCCTCACCTCTACCTGCTCTGGTCTCTCCTTACACAGTAACTAGCAGCACCAACACAAACTGAGCGGCTGGGCCAAACCAACTAACTTTGTGCTCTCCTCCTAGAACAACAATCACACTGCACTTCCAGAATTTTTAACGGAGCCATGTTTTGGGACAGGGTCATCCCAAACTGGTTCTTCTCTCCCTGATTATTCCTGAGGGAGCACCACACTGTCAGAGGGTCAGTGTTGAGGGAGTGCCGCACTGTCAGAGGGTCAGTGCTGAGGGAGCGCCGCACTGTCAGAGGGTCAGTGCTGAGGGAGTGCCGCACTGTCAGAGGGTCAGTGTTGAGGGAGTGCCGCACTGTCAGAGGGTCAGTGTTGAGGGAGTGCTGCACTGTCAGGGGGTCAGTGCTGAGGGAGTGCCGCACTGTCAGAGGGTCAGTGTTAATGATACCAGTAACCTTACAGCCCTCACCCCCCACAGCAGCGTAAACCTCTCCAGTTAAACTTACTGTCAGCCTTAAATATCACCCAAGAGAAAGTTCAGATCATTGAAAGAAGTCAGTCAGCATAACCAGCCACTGACTAGGTCCTAAAAATGCAATGTCCTCTCCCTTTGAAGTCTGAAACCTTGCAGAATTATCTCAGGGCAAATTTTACCCACAGGCTTAGACTAGTTGTTTTCACTTTAACAAACTGACAGATATCATCTACACATTTGATTTAAGAATTCTACAGTGCTTTTGAAGGTTTGTAAGGATTAAATTTGAGACTACAACCTTTTTTATTCTTGATGATGAATATGAACTATAAGATTTAACTCCCGATTACATTGTAGTAATGAGAACGATATTGCAAATGTATGATAATTGAGATTAGTAATTATATGAGAATTCTAATTTAAATTTGGATATCATCTTACAATCCACCTTAATAACAGTACATTCAAATATACGTGAGGACAATTATACGCACAATGCAGTACAATTTCTTAATAGGATGGATGACTTTCTTTCAACCTATAAGAGGTTGCGCCAATGCAAGGTCTTCATGTCTCAGAAGTCAGCCCTAAAGTGCTGTGGTGTGTGTACGAGGTTCAATTGCTTTAAGACCTGGGTTCCTTTAAGAAAGCTGGATAAGGCAATGAACCAATGCCCAGGATGAGACCACATGGCCAATTGCCCCATGCAGCCAACATACTGGAGAGGTTGGATTACACATAGTTATCTGTAACTGCAAGCTGGAGTCTGGGCTGTTTAATAAACATAACCTGTGTATGCAAGGAAATACAACAGCATGTGATGGTCATTTCAATCTAGTTTAGAGTTTCTGCTCAAAGTCACAAGTAACTGGCTGCCATCCTTCAGTATTACATGTTTATTTAAAAAAAAGTCTAGTCTGGAGTAAGTTACCTCACAGGTGCAAAGTTAGTAAAGTTTTGTTGACCCACTTCATAACTTCCTCTGACTGCAATACTGAGTGCTTGCTCCTGGTAACTTGTCAAATTCTACATGCTTTAAATATTAACATTTTAATTGCTGGATTAATTTGGTAATTTTCTTAGCAATGACACTGAGGGAGTACTGGATTATCAGTGGGTCATTACCAGTGGGCTAGGAGGCATTTGGTATCCATTCATAACTGTGAGCCACTTCCCATAGGCCACATGGTGTAGACAAACCCACAGTGCCCTTAGGGAGGGTGTTCCAGGATTTTGACCCAGTGACACTGAAGGAACAGCGATATGTTTCCAAATCAGGATGGGGAGTGGCTTATTGAAGGGGAACTTGAAGATTGTAGTGTTCCCATCTATCTGTTACCCTTGTGTTTCTAGGTGATGGTAGTAGTGGGTTTGGAAGGTGCTACTGAAGGAGTCTTGGTAAGTTACTGTAGATGGTGCATTCTGGTACTGGGGCACTTTGATGCCACACTCAGTTTTCTTCCCTCATCTTTTGAATTCAGCTGTTTTGTCCATGTTTGAACCAAGGCTGTAATGAGATCAGGAGCTGAGTGGCCCTGGGGGAACCCAAACTGGGCGTCACTGAGCAGGTTATTGCTGAGCAGCTGTTGCTTGATAGCACTGTTACTGACACCTTCCATCACATTACTGATGATCGAGAGTAGACTGATGAGGTGGTAATTGGCCGGGTTGGATTTGCTTTTTTTTAAATGTACAGGACATACCTGGGTAATTTTCCACATTGTTGGGTAGATGCCAGTGTTGTAGCTGTACTGGAAGAACCTCGCTGGGGAAGCAGCAAATTCTGGAGCACAAGTCTTCAGTATTATTGCTAGAATGGTGTCAGGGCCCATAGCCTTTGCAGTATCCAGTGTCTCCAAACGCTCATTGATATCAAATGGGAATATTTGATTATTCTCCTGAATTATGCTTTGTAGATGGTAGATAGTCTTGGGAATGTGGAAGTGAATTTACTCATTTTTTTCAATCATTTTGACCGTTCTTAGAATCATTAACATTAGAAAGGTAACCTGCACCATGGACACACTCCCACCAGAGATAACATGCAGCAAAGTGGTTATTGTTTCGCACGCTCCCAAGTCAGACACACTTTCCTCTAATCCATATTGTCTACAGGAAGCTGGACTGCAGCTGGATACAGAATGGTTTGGAGTTGGGAAAATCTGGATTGGAGTCTACATTCCCAACATCTACAACATGACGTTTTTTTTTATTCATTCATTGATTGGAAGAGGGTGTCATTGGCTAGGCCAGCATTTATTGCCCATCCCTGAGAGCAGTTAAGAGTGCTGTGGGTCTGGAGTCACGTGTAGGCAGTTTCCTTTCCTAAAGTACATTGGTCAATGGGTTCTTCTGACATTCAACATGGTCATCATTTAATTGGCTTCGACAGAACCTTATCTAGGTAAGGAAACTGATGAAGATATTCCAAGATGCTTCAAACAGCCTGCCTTTCGAGACCCTTAGAGAAACACTGTAAACATTGTCAGCCTTGGCCGAGGAGAGAGAGCTGGGAGGTGGAAAGAGAATGTAGCAAACCAGAGCTAGACCTTACCAAGAGGCATCTGCAATATCCAAACTTCCTGCTGCCATCGATGTTGGTCAGAACGAAGGAAAAGGTTTCACTGAAAGAAATGGAGAATATTTTGTCCAGAATAAGCATAGACTCATGACAATGTGTATTAATATAAAATGAATGTTACACGCTGGTTCTAAACAAAATACGACTTTTGATCACATAAGGGGACATTACCTCAGTTGAGTAAAAGCTTGGTCAAAGAAGTAGGTTTTTAAGGGGTTTTGCGAAAGAGGAGGAGAACAGTGGAGCAGTCTAGGGAATTCCAGAGCTTAGAACCCAGGCACATGAAGGCTCAAGTCCCTTTGGAGAAGTGATTAAAAGTGGAGGTGCTTGATGGGCCAGAATTAGATGGGAACAAGCTAACTCCAAGTGGGCTGGGAAGGGCTTACAAAACTACAGAGAAACATGGAGTTGTAGGTTATCAGACCAGGCGTGATCTCACTGAATAGTGGAGCAGACTGGATGTCTTATAATCTTATGATCCAGCAACATGAATACTGATCCAGGAATCTCCAAATTAAATTTTATCAATATTTAGTATGATCTGTTAAAATCCTCGATACATTCCTTCATTGAATGACTATATTTTTCCAAAAACAAAACGTTTGGTGAAACCTGCTGGGCATCTAACAGATCACCATTCTACAAGTTTAATTAGGTGTCCCAGTACTCCAATGATGGGCACCCACCTGACATAACACATCCAATTCTGCTTATTTTAGAAAGCAGGCACATCAGGACTATGATAACACAGTGTAGAGCTGGATGAACACAGCAGGCCAGGCAGCATCAGAGGAGCAGGAAAGCTGACGTTTCGGGTCGGGACCCTTCTTCAGAAAATCTTACAGCAGGACTATAACCTGTTCTCCCTTTGGCAGTTTTGCAATCTGTATCTATCTCTCTTTGACTGGTTGTTTGGTTCTAACTTGGACGTAAAGCATATGCTGGCCATAAACACTTCCTCAGTTCTGAAGAAGGGTCACTCGACCCGAAAAGTCAACTCTGATTTCTCTCCACAGGTGCTGCCAGACCTGCTGAGCTTTTCCAGCAAATTCTGTTTCTGTTTCAGATTTACAGCATCCGCAGTTTGTTTGGTTTTTAATAAACACTTGTATTCTGCCATTTTTAACAAGGGCTAATGGGATCTCAAATTTCTGACTGAAGTTGTTTTGTAGCTTCCTACCTTTACCTTCAGGTCATCATTCTGTGCTTTATGTCAGAAATCCAATAGCGGAAGGAGAGAACCAGAGCTATTCCCTGTACTGCCATATTTTTTTTACAGTATTACAAATTGCATGCACTATCTAACCCAGGCACCACAGGCCCAGTCCCTGTCTGTTTCTAGAGGCTCAAGTAAATCCCTAGTTACTGTCTGCAAATAGCTAAACACAAGAGTTTGAGGATGAAAGTAAGCTTGGAAATGGGTTATAAATACAGAGGAGTCAAAGATGGGTTTTTGAGCATGTGAATATTATTTGAGGTGAGGGTGATTTATTTGAAGAAGAGTGTGCTATTTGAGGATGGCTGAGGAGAAGGCAGGTTATTGGAGGATGGGGCATTGAAAGCCCATTTGAAAGGGTTGGCTCAGTGCCCACAGACCTTGGATTCTTTACCACAATCAGGACCCGAGATGTGAAGCATCCAAACACAGACCTGGAATTTCCCAGCACAGAACTTGGGCACTCTCCACTCCAGAGCTTCTGTGCTGTACTGGAATCAGCTGTGCTAGTAGGTGATAATGTAGGTGAAGGTACTAAAGGACTGTTACCAAGAGGTTAAACCAAGACCCAGTCTGCATTGTCAAGTTGTCACAAATTATCTCATGGATGAAGAGCTTTCTCTAGTGTCCCAGACCGATGTTACTTATTCAATAAAGATTACATGGTCATTTTTCACATTGCTGTGTGAGAATTGGCTGCTCCTTTTCCTACAACAGTGCCTACACTTCAAGGTATTTCAACAGTTGTCAAACGTTGGGACACTCTGAGGCCACAAAGTTCTCTCTTTCCCTTCAAATGTGGACTCAAGAAATCGAAGCTTTCTGATTGCAAAGAGGAGTAAATGAGAAGGACACAAACCTCTCGTATTCAGTGAGTGGGGCCCAGGTGTTGCCGTCTGGAAAACAAAACAGTGGGATTGCCCTCAGTAAGCTTTCCTCCTCCTCCTTCTGCGAACGCATCAGATTCTCCCTCTGAAACAAACAGAAACCTTCCGAGATTAGAACCTGACACATGCACCTTCCCCCAGTCACACAAACAAGGGGACATTCCACACTCCGAGTACCAGCCCAACCACTACACCACTCTCCTCAGCCATGACCCCTTCTCCATGGATACAGGAGGAGGAGGTATAGTGATGATGTCACTGGGATAGTAATCAAGGGGCCGAGGCTTATGCTGTAGGGTCAGGGGTTCAAATCCCACCAGCGCAATTGGTGAAATGCAAATTAAGTTAATAAATCTGGGATTGAAAGCTAATCTTTGACCCTGCTGACCATCATTTGTAGTAAAACAAACCCTTCTGGTTCACCAATGTCCTGTAGGGAAGGAAACTTGCAATCCTTACCTGGTTTGGTTTACACGTGACTCCAGACCCATTGCACTCAATCAGACCATAAGGAACAGAAGTAGGCCATTCAGTCCATTGAGTCTGCTCTGTCTTTCAATGAGATCATGACTAAACCGGTAATCCTCAACTCCACTTTCCTGTCTTTTACCCATAACCCTCAACAAAAATCCATCTGTCTGGGCCTTGAACATATTTAATGGCCCAGCCTCAGCAGCCCACTATGACAAATAATTCCACAGATTCACTGTCCTTTGAAACAAGAAATTCCTCCTGTGTAACTGCTTATACTGAAATGATGCCCTCTGGTCCTAGACTCTCCCACAAGGGGAAACAACCTTTCCACATCTGCCCTGTCAAGTCCCCAAAGAATTTGTACGTTTCAATAAGGTTGCCTCTCATTCTTCTGAATTCCAATGAGTACAGGCCCAACCTACTCAACCTGTCCTCATCAGACCTTCCTTCCATACCGGGAATCAGCCTAGTGAAACTTCTCTGGGCTGCCTCCATTGCCAGTCTATCTTTCCTTAGTTAAGGAGCCCCAAAACTGTTCGCGGCACTTCAGCTGTGGTCTGACTAGAGCGTTATATAGTTTTAGCAAAACCTCTTTACTTTTGTACTCCAGTTCTTAACTGCCCTCTGAAATAGTCTAGTAAGCCACTCAGTCCCAGGGCAATTAGGAGTGGGCAAAGAATGTTGGCCTCACTAAGTGATGCCCACATCCCATAAAGAGTTAAAGAAGAAACCTCTCTGTTCTCTCCCTGGACACTCACTCACTTGCCCTGCTCAATTACACTTAGCTCCATCATACACTGTCCCCAGACTCTTGGTCCCTTACTGCAGGCATACTGCCCCCTCTACTGGGCAGTCTAAACCACAGACCACCCCAAAAAACATGGAGTGTCCGAAACACAGTGTGGTCAAGGTAAAGTTGGGACTGGGTGAAACAGTTTAAAAGGGACTTGATGGGCAACTTTTTCCACACAGACGGTGGTGCCTGAGGAAGTGACAGATGCAGGTACAGTTACAATATTTAAAAGACTTTGGACAGGTACATGAATAGGAAAGGTTTAGAGGGATATGGACTAATGCAAGAAATGGGGCTAGTTTAGCTTAGGAAACTTGGTCGGCGTGGATGAGCTGGACCAAAGGGTCTGTTTCTATGCTGTATGACTCTAAAATTGGTTCCACTATTTCCCATGACTAAAAGCATTAAGTCAGGGTTCACACACCCGTGAGGAAGTTTTCTATTGGCCTTCACCGAGTGGATGACTGAATAAAATATCTTACTTCCTCCCACAAACAAAATGCAGGCAGACGAACAATCAACGAGGGACTGAGACATGTTTTCACTCACCTTCGGAAACTGGTACGCTATCTGTGGCTCGTATGTCGCTCCAGACTTCTTCAGAGAAACAACCACCAGGTATTCGAAGAAGAACTGCCCTGAATAGCGGGATGAGTCCTGCTCTAGTGTCTTCTCTTCAGCTGAAATACTCCTCTCGATACCTGCTTTAGAAACACAGGATGCACAGTTTCTGATGTTCAGTCTTAAACTCCTCCTGGTTGACCTCAGCACCCTGTTTATAGACATTCCATGTCCTCCACTTCTCAAGGTCAGTGAGCTCTCTTGCTTCACTTGGGGATCAGTAACCTCTAACCTGGTCCCATCTCCCGGCAACAATGATCTCCTAAGCTGTTCCATTGCTGACGGTATTCCCTTGTCTTGGCTCAATTCTGGGATCTGCAACGTATCCGGCTCTATCTGAGTGTCAGTGATTGCTCTGCTCCCTAACAGTCTCCTGTCCTGCTGCTACACTTGCTGCTAATGAGCTATCTTTTCATCTGTTACTCCTCATACGTTAAAAACTATTTGGGGTTTTCCATCTTCACAAGGAAGTACAAAAGTCAATAAACAGGTTGTGGTTAGGACGAATGTACCGGGTGCCAACTGTCATTAAAGGTGTTGAGAAACAGCACGGTTTGCTCAAGGCTCTGGGATAAAATACAGGAGACAAAAATGAAGGAGAAGAGCAGTCCGCAGCTCAGGAAGAGGAACTGCTGATCTGACAGCCTGGGGTATGGAGCGTTTGTTCAATTCCATTAATAAACTCTTGTTACTCAGTTAAAAACAGAGAATCAGTTAACTCCTGTCCATGTGAAACTGAGGAGTCACTCTCTTGCTCTCCGTTGGTGGATTGGTGGAATGAGATTGAATAATTACAGCAATGATTCTCAGTGATAACAGGATGCCAGGGCAAGCATTTAGGATTCAAACTTCAAATGGCAAGTTTGATCACAGAGAACGAGAGAGAGAGAGAGAGAGAGAGAGAGGAGGCTGCTCTGGGAGCTGAACAGATATCGCTATCACTGAGACTCAGCCCTAATGGTCAGAATGGATTCACATCCACGCATAACATCTGAGGCACAGCAGGAGGTGGGAGAGCTAAGTGAGACCAGGCTGGGGAAAGGTGTGCGGGGCTGGGAACAGGAGGAGGGAGAGCTGAGTGAGACCAGGCTGGGGAAAGGTGTGTGGGGCTGGGAACAGGAGGAGGGAGAGCCGAGTGAGACCAGGCTGGGGAAAGGTGTCAGGCAGAGCAAGACTGGGAACAGGGAGTGGGAAAACTGAGTGACACCAGGGTGGGAAGCGGACAGAATGCATTCAAAACAAAATCAAAGTATAACATCATAGGAAAGCGAATAAGTGGTTGGTAGATGAGTACCTCTTTTGTTAGTACTCTCTCTTTCCTGTAAATGAGGGCGTTTTCTCAATTGGGAGACATGAAAGAAAAGACATTCACTTCTGAAGGACATCACTAGTTATGAATAAGAGCATTAGCACAGGGCATTCATTGAAATTACTCACTCAGACAAGATATTAATGCAATTTGAAAAGAGAGGTCACAGTCTTGTTTTGTTACAATCACAGATGAGCAGCTGAAACCTATTGTTGACAATTGCAGTGCTGCCCTGTGGAAGCTGCAGAATCACACAGATTGGATGTGTCTCTGTCTGCTTCAGCTCAGGAGCAGAGTTTCTGGGCTGAAGGGGCAGTTGGAGGTTAACAATTTCCTGTATGGTTCAGAAAATATTAATCAAGGAAGAGGAAGTCGGGAAAATATTGGTGGAAGTGGAAATGCTTGAGGCAATGGATGGTATGAAATTTACTTCACAGAATGTACTGGAGAGGCTGGGCTATCTTTAGAGAGTAATACATCACTCAGTCTGGATAGCTCACATTCCAGGTTGCCAAGGGAAACAGGAATGATGATAGAAGTGTTCACCTTGGTCTTCCAATCCTCCCTAGATATAGGGGAGGTATCGTGGGATCGGTAAGTGGCAAATGTTCAAGACAGAACACAGCTATTTTTGAGATAGTAGGTACTGCAGATGCTGGAGAATCTGAGATAACACAGTGTAGAGCTGGATGAACACAGCAGGCCAAGCAGCATCAGAGGAGCAGGAAGGCCGATGCCTCGGGCCTAGACCCTTCTTCAGAAAATGTTATCTCATGATTTTGTTTATGTTTTTAACTATTAATCACCATCCAGGTCTGCTTATTTTTAATATACTGGGTCTGCTTTATTGTTTTTTTT